ATCCTTTGCTCAAAGTAATTACTTGAAAACTCACTTGAGAATTCATGCAAGAGAAACCCAATTTCTGTACATTAGAAATACACACTGGAGAATGGAGAAACAACTTTTGCTGTCAGATATGTGAAAAAGTATTTTATATAAGTCGTCACTCAAAAAATCACAGAAAATTCATATACATGAGAATCTTTTTTTTGAATGAATATATATATATATATATATATATATATATATATATATATATATATATATATATATATGTGTTAAAGCAAACTCAACTGTTAATATATTGTAAATTGATTTTTAATGATTTCACCCCAAGGAAGGTGATAAAGCCACTAAGATACAAAAGGGTTACTGAGCGTGAAGAAAACTGAGAAAACGTTACTGAGGAGAATGGGCAATAAAAGGAAGAGAATTCAATGATACAGAAGATGACGATTGGTGTTGCATTTAAATTTTTGAAGATTGTAGTTTACCAGAACTCAAGAAGCTGAATGCAAGAAAATGAAAAAGAATTCCATAGGCATGAAAGGCAAGCGAAGAAATAGAATGGTTGACCATTGTAGTACAAATAAAACAAACAAAAGTAGCTCTGAATGTATGTAAATAGACCAAGAAGAAGTGTGTATGTTAATATATTTAATAACGGCGTTTGTTTTTTTTTTTTAAAAAGTCAGTTTTCTGGATAAAGCTTGTACCTTAAATTAACAGAGTATTTTCGGAAAAAAAACCCGCGAAAATTGTCTAGAAAAAAATAAACACCAGTGTATAGAAATTTTATCCGAATCGTTGTATTTGTATGTGTATGCCTGAGAACCAATGAGAGAATTCCTGTATAATGATGTGTTTATGTAAATATACGTAAATATATTTATTAATACACTTCTTAACTAAAACAGTGAAGACCCTTGTATAGTTCAGTTGAATGAGTTTATATATTTGATGTTATTGTATGTCCCCCATCCAGTACTAAATGCTTGTACACACAAACACGTACGCACACAGAGGCATAAACAAGGGTTGCCTTGTTGAACAAAACACAGGAACTGGACTGATGGTGGCAGGAAGAAGTGTGTGCTAACCCTGAAAAACAAATCACACACATAACAACAAAATAGTCTATCTCATAAAATTATGAGAGACAGTCAGGCAAGTCAGTAGGCACTGACTAGAAAACATTTGGAATTACCAAAATAATATATTTCTTTCTTTCCTTTGGAGTTGGAATTCTAGAATATTCCGAAAATTTGAGACTAATATTTTGATAGAATATCACTTACACTTAGAGAAAATATTCTCACCCCACATATACGGGTGTGTGTGCGCGCGCACTCGCGTCGACAGTGGCGTGATTTCATTTAGGGACAAGAATACTTCTGCTTTTACGTGTCGTGTCTTTTCACAAAGTAGACGATCATGGCTATTCACAACTTCTTTCCATTTGCAACTCTAAGTAACTTTTTTTGATCCTTTTCCATCCATCTTTGTCTCGGCTTTGCTATCCATTCACTCACCTAAACTCATTAAGTACGTTACTCGCTGTTTCCCCTCTGTCCTTCTTGCATTCAATAGGTCCAAGATGTGCGGGTGGTGTAATGGATAGAGATCCAGAGTGAGAAATCAAAGAGCCGAGTTCCAATTACAGTCGGGTCCGTTTCATTCACTTACGTGCAAATACTCTTAGTAAAGTTATGAATCCATATCCGCCTCCCCCGCTATTGATTAAATAGTCGAACTTATACTTGGAAAAATCATTGTTGTTCTCAAAAAATGGTTAATGAAATATTCACTCGTAAAAAAATATTCATACAATCCAAAGTATGTTTCAGCTTTAAATAACCCACAGAGGGTTGATAAACAGTTAAAACAACAAATCAATTAATCAAACTTCAATATGCCTTGTGCGTGTTAAATTTTCCAAGCCCTCTCTCCTCATTATATATCCCAGAGATTTCATTTGCGTCTTTCTGATTTTAATTAAATGTGTTCCCATAAACTTTGAAATGAGACTTCGTTGTCCCATAATAGTTATTACTTATTATAATTAAATTAATTTGGAAAAAAAAAGTCAATACAATGGACAAACCAGTGAAGACTGAACTCACTACTCATAATTAAAGCGATTCGCACACTAGCCACAACCCCAAGCTGAGGTGCCTACGTGTCGTGTAATAATTATTACTATTGAAGGATAGAAGAAGTAATTATTTTATTTAATTGGGGCGGGGGCATGCTATGTAAAATTAAAGAAAAATTTACGCCCCTTTAATTAATATAAGTTAAGAGAGAAATCACTTAAATTACTTAAGTCTTTAATTTCTCTTTCTTTTTTAAGTTTTTATTTCTCTTTAAATAATATTTTGTCTTAACCGTCATTGTCACTTAGTTGGAACATAATACTTGAAATTAATTTTTCCGCTATTGAATTTTTTTAATTAAATCATCTATAACAATTGAGACAGTTAGAAAGTGTAGTTTTATCACCAAATACTAGGGCGAATATTGTGCAACTAGATATTCTTAAGTGGTTTATAAAGGTCTTCTGAAGTTGAACTAAGGAGTAGTGTTTACGACGCCATAAAAATGCACAATACAGTTGGTTACGATTTGGATAGGCCCAAGTTTGAAAAACCATAGATATTAAACATTTTTTTTACATACAAGAGAAAAATGATTGTCCTCGATATAAGGAATAATTTAAACAAAACATACGGTCTGAAACAAAAAAGGTATGACTACCATAAATGTCTCCTAAAGCAATTTGGGCACATTGGACGTATTCTACAGAAAATGTCAATAGGTTTCAATAGTTCAACACACGTCCAATCCGCCAAAGAACATAAGAATTGGAACTTGGAATAATGATGTAAAGAAATATGGAGCTACGAATCGAAACATATTTGGGTTTGAGGGTCGAAAATACATCAGGATAGGAATATGAGAAAAAGAAAAGAGGTTGAACTGCTGTGTAATAATAATCGTCCTATATTTCAGAGAATGTTGGACAATCTCATTACAGATGGAGAGGAGACTTGAAGCAACGGAGATATAACTCTACAGAAGGATGCCGAGAATACAATGTGAGTAACGAGAAGGTTTTAAGGAAAATGGAAACAAAAAGGACACTTATGGTTAAAATCAGAAATAGACAGTTGAAATTTCGGGTACGAATTATGAGGAAAGAAGGCTTGGAGAAAATAACACTCAAAGAACATATTGAAAGTAAGTGGGACAGAGGGAAATAGCGAGTAGCCTACCTAAAATGTTCATGCGAATGAGTAGCAGAACAGAGATTGAGAATGATTGTAAGAACAGCATAACTTAAGAAGTTGTGGCGGGCCATGATCGCCCACGTCATGGAGAGAAACGGCACATAAAAGAAGTCTGCACTGTATAAGAGTAATTGTTACGTGTGTGTGTGTGTGTGTGTGTGTGTGTGTGTGTGTGTGTGTGTGTGTGTGTGTGTGAATAATAAACTGTTATAAATTATAAAGATTATCTCACCTGGAACGCTTTTCGATGGCGTAAGCGGCCGATGTAATCTCATTTTGGTAAAAAAGAAATTGCTCCGAGTTTTAATACTTCTCTGTCATAATCCGGTTTAAGTTATCGATGAAGGTGTCTTGGATGCTGTGATATAGTTCGTATGCATTCTCATTTTGAAATCTCTTTATGTACCCAAAATATACAACACGCGTATAAAGACAAATAGAACTGTAGAGAAATTTATCTTTAAGTCAAGTGCTTAGAAAAGATGTTGATAATATATGTTTATTTTTCTTTTTTTGATGACCAACATAGAAACAAAAAGACAGGCTCAGAACCTTATGAAACCTTATTCGGTTTTTCTTGAACGTTTAAAGTCGTTATTTTTGTTTATTTGGCCGTTTTTTTTTTTTTCGTTTGTTTTTTTTTTTTGTTTGTTTGTTTGTTTTTTTGACTCGTCAAGAAACAATTCGCATCATTCAATTTCTCTATAAGAATTCCTGCTGTCCTATGGCGTAAGAAAATCGAGATGACATGAATTAATCCAAGCGGCCTTGCAACATTCTTTATAGATATAAACCGAGAAAACATATATATATATATATATATATATATATATATATATATTCTACTGAGACACTTCTCTTTCTTCGTAAAAAATGTACTCAGCGATAATATTTTTGAGTTTAGTTCTGCTTACTTCCCGTGTATAAAAACTATTTGTATATTTCATTCAAAACTTTTTACGAAGAAAAAAAATCTCTGTGGTGTGTTTGTTCATAAAGATATTGACCTTGCGCGCATACATACATACATACATATATATATATATATATATATATATATATATATATATATATATGGGACTTTGCTCAGGAGATGACAGCTCAAGAGAAATGTTGTAGTTTGACCAATATGTATGCAGTTTTTTTTTTAATTAACAGAGAACTCCAGCAGACAGTTAAAATTTCCTCGAATTCATCATGTATATAATCTTTGTTTATTTTAAGGACGTGTCCCTTCGAAAGTGTTTATGTTTGCCTGCTTCACGTGGTTATATGGAAGTATTAATTAGTGCCAGTATTCTAGCATGTTTTCACACGAGCGTCTCTGCGTGTACGTGTAAAAATTAATTGACGAGATCTTCGGTGTCTTGGCATATTTTCCTATCTGCTGATTTAATTATAATTTGTATTCAGTTTGCTATTTTTTTAATGGTACCAGTTATGGACAGAAGCGCGATTTTTTTTCTGCTGTGTATTAAAAAAAACAGCATTACTCTACAAATTATAAGTTTATGTGACAATCCTGCATACTGTGATCGTCAATCACAACGATTGATTTGCGGGCAAATGAAAAGGTAATAACCGAAAGGAATATTACGAAACTTTTGAATGAGGTTTATATGTACTTTTCAGCTTGTGTTTTATACATTTGTGTCATTACCTAAAAGAATGTGGGTAGACATTTCTTTGTATTGAACAAGCAGAATTAGATTCGTATATACATGTGAGTCACTGCGCTGCCGATAAATGTAAAGATGAGGAGGAGTGAAACAAATGTCGAGTCCCAACTTCAGGCAAAGAAATATGGCACGTGTGTCCGTTAGCAGTAATCTCGCCAAAATGAAGAACTGTCAACTGGTTTGGGGCCTGGTCTGTTGTTCTTCTGCAGTGCCAACTATTCTTTACTTCTCGACAGTCTTCAGTGGTTTGATAGATGGTGAAGAGAAAGAGAGAGAGAGAGAGAAAGCGAACGTGAGAAAGAGAGAGAGAGAGAGAGAAAGAGAGTGAGAAAGAGAGAGAGAGAAAGAGTGAGAGAGGGGAGCGGCGAAATAGCTGGGCTTCTCGAGTAACAAGTGGTCGGCCCTGAGGACGGCATCTGCAATTCTCTTAAATGTATGTGTACTCACGTGCATACACACGTGTGTATGTGTGTGTGTGTGTATATATATATATATATATATATATATATATATATGTGTGTGTGTGTGTGTGTGTGTGTGTTTATAAAAGAGAGGGAGAGAGAGAGAGAGCTGGACTATATGAATAGTTTCCTTACTTTGGAGTATCCGTCTATTAATGTCGACATGCGTGTGGGTGTGGCGCTGACAATTATTGTGTTTGTGTCGGCGTATCACAGTGTTTTGATGAATTTGGATCTACGACTGCTTCCCTTGTTGTGTGAATATGTGTGCACGTATGTATTTGTCCTTATGAGTGTGCGCGTAAACATACATATACTAGGAATACTCGAGAAAATTTTACGGTTTTCCTATTTGAAATTTATGATGAATCTTAATTCTCAAGTTAATGATTTAATAAGCTCGTGGCGAGTTCTACGACAATAAAATATCCGTAGAAATTCCCTTATCGCATCGTTAAATATTTGAGTTTAACAACTTTAACAAAATATACCAATAACAATCATAAATATGAATGCTAGTCGTTATTTAATGAAGAAAGGGGTACAAATGAAAAGATTTGAAATTGACAATTTTTTTCATTTCCCTGAAGCAGACGTTAAATAATGAGTGTGTTATCGCCTCTTCTATCTTCCTTTCAGTCTTTCTTTCTTTCATCTTCTCACAGAAACCAAGTAGCGTCTCTCATATGTCTTTTCTGTTTTGCCACACAATCAAAGGCTTTTAGTCCATTATTTATTTATGAAGTATTGGCAGGGTGTAACATAAATAATAACTAAGGAACTAAAAGGAAGACGTGGAGACTTATAATCAGATGATATATATGTCTGTATGGACGTACCGTACGTAGATAATAACCTCCTTTAGCTGGACTTTAAAACTTATATATATATATATATATATATATATATATAAAAAGCCTTTATCTTTTATCAAGGCAAATGTAAGGATTTTATTTTGCAACATGAATATATATATATATATATATATATATATATATATATATATATATATATATATATATACAAAGGGCTAGAAAAATTCTCGTCCGACCCACTTTCAAAATCAGTATTTGGTGAGAGAATCCCTACTTAGCGACCCTTGCGTTTGTAAGAGTGTGAGTGAGTGGGGCGCATGTGTCCATGTGCGTCTATGTGTAATTGCGCACATTTAATATTCGCACTAAGAGCGCACACGCAATAAAACAATAAAAAATAAAAATTCTCAATTTAAAATGTAAAATACAGAGACGAATATAATACACTAATAAATGTTTATGGGCTTTTTACCATCCGGTGCGATCCTCCCGTAGACCGGCTCGCATCTGTACACACACACACATACATGCACACACACACATACATGCACACACACACACACACATACCCCCCCACATATATATATATATATATATATATATATATATGGGTGAAGATGATAAACATAAATTTTTATATACTAGAACAATGTTAAGAAAATTAATGACAAATAGGAAAATTGTTCGTGTGATTGAACTAAATTTGTTTCCGCTTGCACATGCGCACGAAATAGAGGGAACTCTGAAATTTTAAACTTTTAAATTCTCCTTCTTTTATTTTAATATGTGCTTGGATATATCATCTATCCAATTTCATTTAGTGTATTTCCCTTTTTGGTTTATATTTTTTATCACTTTTATTTTGCTAAACGAAATTTGGTAGGCGTTATGCTCAAACACATATGTATAAAAACAATAAATTTGAAAGGTTAACATTTATATATATATATATTAGAAAAACTTAATAAAAACTATGTTCGTCATATTCAATGATTTCATAAATGAAATACAGCTGTCCCAATATATATATATATATATATATATATATATATATATATATATATATATATATATATGGATGGATATATAGTTTGTGACCGTCTGTTTCACGCATATGCGATCCTCAGACAAACCCTTAGGATTGCATAAGAGTGAAAAAAGGCAGTCACAAACTCATATCCATTCAACTAAATATGTTAGCTCTATCGCTGATATTGATCGCTTTCCAATAAGCACCGCGTATATAAAAATATATATAGAAGTTATATATATATACGTACACACACACACACACACACACACACATATATATATATATATATATATATATATATATGAAGAAATATAGTCTTAAGTTGTGCTATATTTATGGGATAAAGTGCTCAATATCAGAGATAGAGTGTGTGAATAAATATAAAAGTGAACATAGAAGTCAACACTTAGAGGCGACAGTCTGTTTCATGTTATATTCAATCGTCAGACCGACTGACTGACGATTGAATATAGCATGAAACAGACTGTCGCCTCTAATTGTTGATTCTATGTTCACTTTTATATATATATATATATATATATATATATATATATGAATATATTTTGTAATTTCGCTCTGATGAAACGAGTGTTAAAAACTTACCCGCTGAAATAAATTAGAATTTATAACCGTCTTTTCGATGATGCATTAAGTTTTTCCTTGATGTGTATACACGCACGCACACACACACACACACACACACACACACACACACACACACACACATATATATATATATATATATATATATATATATATATTGATAAAATTAAGTATTTTAAGAAGTAAAAAGTGATCACAATCCGTGATACTGCTTTTATAGATATAAACATAGGGATCAACACTGCATAGTGACTCGCAGTTTCACGACTTAATGCGATCTTCTGGCGAAACATTTAACTAAGGCGTGAAACTGGCAATGACCATGAGAATTTTTTTGAAATGCAAACAAAATAATTTCTGATGAATCTCACATAATAGCAATACATGTTAAATTTATATATATTTCACGACTTGTTCCTTATTTAAGCATTCTGTCAGATTTCATCTATTTTTCAACTTTAAAATTGAGATAGATAGATAGATAGATAGATAGATAGAAACAAACAGCCTTAGATAGATAGATAGATAGATAGATAGATAGATAGATAGATAGATAGATAGATAGATAGATTTGTATCACTTCAAACTTTTTTTTTAGTGCATACTCGTATTTGAGTAGACACTCCGTTTATTTATTAAACATTATGCTTATTTATTTTCACCTACCGGCCTGAATATTCGAGAAATCTTATTAAAGACAAATTTACGTACTTCATCAGGAAACAAACCTACGTCCATCAGGGCCGATGTCGGCACCGGTCAGCTTGAATGGCGCTAATTTTTCTTTAAAGGAAATTATCACATCCCAAGAAACATTTTTTTTTTTAAAATAAAAGATCATATTTAATTTTTTATTGGTTTTAAAAATATTTTTGTTTTGCTTAGACCAGGAATACATTAAGTTTATAAAGGATGTTCCAATAACTTGGACTGATTTTAAATGTGAATTACGTTTAAGCATCTAATGATTTTTTACTTTTTCTTTCAGATTTAACAACTTAAGTCTTAGGCTATTTTCAACCATGAAAAGATTAAGAAAAATAAAAAAATCATTAGACGCTTAAATTTAAATTTAATTCACATTTAAAATCGGTCCAAGTTATTGAAACACTCTTTACGAAGAAATCTCTATTCATGTGGCTGTCTTTTTAAAAACAAAATTTACTGAATTTTAAAAAAAATAATAGATTTAGTTTACATTGTTTTAAATGAGTTTAACGCATCTTCTTTTATATGCCGTGTAACTTCAGGACGTCGGAAATCATGGTTCTTCACGACTTCCTGTCCATTGTAGCTCTAATCCACGTTTGACTATTTACCATTCCTTTTTGTCCCTTCCCTGACATCGATTCGCCTAAACTCGAAACTCGACACTCGACAGATAGGTCATTCGTCGCCCACCCCCTTAGTAATTCAAAGAAATAATTACAAACATGAAAAAATAGAGAAAAAACCGTAAGAATATCTACTATAATGTTGTGTTTGTATGTCATTTGTTTGATTGATTGATTTGTTTGTTTAACGGCATATCAACTCCTTCATGCGTCATTTAATGCCTAAAATTAATTCTCTTGGGAGCTTTGAAGTAATAAAAATATGATACATGTTATTCTGCTTTCATATTTGAATACATGGTAGATGATACTCAGCTTTTGTGCATATACATGTTTGTGTAGGCATAATTACTAGAGGTGAGGATATGTGTTTGATGTTGTAGTATTGAAACAATTCAAAAAGCCTGCATAGTCACTTTTGAACTCTGTCAAGAATGGAAAGTTAGGACTGGACAGTACTCCACTGATTCAGTTCATAATAACAGGATATCAGCAGTGGACTTAGCAAAGTGATATCAGTACTTTTTGTAGCACATGAGGTTCTCTCTGTTGAGGTGATCAACAACCTATTTGTTGATTATATCCTCAATCAATTTAATAATGTCACTAATGAAGCTGATGCACTGATATTGCAAGAGGGTTGAATGATCAGCTGCATTTTTGAAATTAGGATATAGAGTTGACACCTTCCATAGACATGAAAGATTTCTCCTTCAGGCAGCAGTTGAACTATTGTTTTGATTGGATTAATAGAATTTCAATTACTGGGTCATATGATGCCAAAATTTAATTTTCTTGTGAGCTTTGAAGTAATAAAAATATGATATATGTTATTCTGCTTTCACAATTGAATACATGGTAGATGATACTCAGCTTCTGTGCATATACATATTTGTGCAGACACAATTACTAGAAGTGGTGATGTGTGTTTTATATTGTAGTATTGTTGAAGTTATATTTTGGAATACAGTTTGATTTCTTTAAGAAATTATAGGATAGTATATGGATTAGGATATTATATGGATTAATGTCATGAAAGAATTCTTTCTTTCATGTTCGTTGTTTGGTTGGTTGATTTTGTTTAGCTACATGTCACCCTCTATGGGTTATTTAATGTCGAAATGTAAATATCTTGAACACAATTTTATGGCACCAACTAAATTTATTTTGAATCCAATTTTATGCTTTCAAATACAGATAGAATATAATATTAGCAATTCTACTATAAAATTGTATTGTTGGTATTTTTACTATAAACAGCTATTATTGTTATTTTTTAATATAAAAATGTATTGCCAATTATTTTACAATAAAATGTATTTTTATGCTTTCATAATGTTTTGCTTTTGTTTGGGGGTTCAGTATTTGCCCATAGCTGGAACCCTAACAGGTGCTACCACTCCGAGTCAGGGTGGTCGTGGGAAGAACAGCAATTAAGAGGTTGTTCCACGCTCCTCAAAACCCCCAATCTCGCGATCAGAGACCTTGCTACCGCGTGTAGATATCGTCATACTCAGTACATTATTTGTTTGCTTGTAAGCTGGAGGTTCACATCAGATAACAGTTTTGCCTAATTTCAGATTTCCGTTTGCTTTAGAGAGACAAAACTAAGAAAAAAACAAGTAGCTAAAGTGGTATTGCCGTTTTATAAAATGATTGTTAGAGTAATATATATATATATATATATATATATATATATATATATATATATATATATATATATATATATATATAATATATATATGTATATATATATATATATATATATATATATATAATATATATATATATATATATATATATATATATATATATATATATATATATATATATATATATATATATATATATATATATATATATATATATATTGATGCATATTTCATTAAATAATATAGACAAGTTTTGTCTATTTATTTTAAGTAAGTTCCTTTCATATTGTCGGATAAGTTTAATAACCTTATTATTGAAGGACGAAAGGAAATCACCATATTGATACATGTTTAAATCCAATCTAAGCTTTCGGCTTATATAAGCCATTATCAAAGATGCGTGAAAAATTTCAAAGCAACGACTAACATGTGCATACGAGACGCGTTATTGGTTGATATATTGAAAAGTAATTGTCATCTTTGATATATTTTTCTCACGAGCAGATATTAAGATGTATCCTGACTTCAAATGTTAAAAAAGGGTGATGTTTTTGGAATTTGAATTGTGAAGATGGGCGATGATTTTTTAGAAAAAGCCCGCACCATTACACTGAAGCCAAATTAATGGCAGCGAAAACGAAAAAAACCCAAAAATAAACGATTTCTTTTTACATTCCTCTTCAACATCGGACAAATAGAAATGTATTCAAGTATTCTCTTTAAAGTGAATTCTTTCTTCCCCTTTCTTCGTCTTTCCCGTTCAACTTGTTGAGATAAGCATAAAAAATGCTCACGCAACGAAGGAATGATTGATGCATATTTATATATGGGAATTTACAATTTTATATTTGAAATGTGCATATGTCACATTGCATATTTATATTTCAAATATCCACATGCAAATTTCTGAGTTTATCTTTAAAATGTGCAAAAATTTTTTTCGCAAGTTTTTGAGTAAAAAAACGGAAAATATGGTCACCAGAAAAAAAAAGGCCAAGATAGGAGTTAACAATTGGAGCTATCAACATTAAACAAGTACAGAAGATTAAATATCCAAAAAGCGACCATAAACCATTACTTCCATTTATAAATAACAGACACTTCTTCGTTGCCAAAGATTATTAATTCGATTATTGTGGTTTAATATAAAAGCAACCGTTTACAAAACTGTCCCGAGGATAGTAACTTCATTTTGTTAAAACTTAATTGCTAAAGAAACTACAGCAGCAAATCCTACTGTTGTTAAGAGCTGTTCTCCCATGCTCTTCAGGGAGTCTACGGAACTTAGATGTTGACCCATACTCTCCATTGGAGTCCGCGGGACGTGAGAAGGAGGGGGAATATGAAGGCACAGTTTTTGCCTAGAAAAATTTGATAGTTGCAGATACACTGTCGAGAGTACTTCTAATGGTAAAGAAAAATTAGTAATTCTGTTAGCTGACGGACGAAGCTGGATTTCAAACCAAAATCCGATCTATTTGGTCAGTCAGTAACAAATGGAGATGATTGCTTCGACAGAAAAGGACAAGATTTTAAGAGAAGCTCTTGAATAAACTAGTGTTGGATGGCCATCTAATAGAAAAAAATATCTGAGAAGCGTTTTAACAAATGATGTAAAATGTAACACCGAGATCCAAATACTCATTTGACTAGCGAAATATGCTTTCCAAAAGCTAAGCAATGTGCTAAGAAACAGAAAGCTTTCATTAAAAACAAAGAAAACAGTGCTGGTTTGCTATGTGATATCCAACTTCTTATATGGCCTTGAATGCTGGACAATCTCCTAACGGATGAGGAAAAATCCGAGGCAGTAGAAATGTGGTTCTACAGAAAGCTATTGAAAACACCATCGACGGTGTGAATAAGAAATAAAGAGGTCTTAAAGAAAATGATAATAGAAATATTACTTCAACTCAGTATTAGGAAAAGACATCACCGGACACATAATGAGGATAGAGAGCTTGGAAAACGTAACCCTCGTGGGGTACATTCCGGGCAAGCGAGATAGAAGAAGGCAGCGAGCCGCTTACCTGATGAGCTTGTATGAATTGATGACGGAAAGGGAGGCGGGAGATTTAACAAAGAGAGAAAAACTACTAAAAGCCACATTGGACAGGAAGTTGTGGAGGAGCATGTCTTGGTGGGACGCAGAACATAGGAGATGTTTTTGTGTTGGTAGATAACAAAAAATGAAGGAAATAGAAAACTAAATAAGTATTGGCTGGTTAAAGGGTTAACCATTAATACTTTACTAACGCGATCCTGCGACAGACGCCGGGTACCTTCTGATGTAATGGAATAACTCCCACCCCCATGAGTGGGCACTATAGGTGGTAAACACATAAAAGTATCCGTTAGAACAGCGGACAGCAGAGTCGAGCTGCGCTAGTCGAACTCTCTGCCTTCGGGCAGAGAGGAACCCGGACGAGGTTATGTCGAAGGGCAGAGTTTCATCCGGGGAGGTAGACAGACCCGATCCCGTTTATGCAGGGTTTACGGGGATTTTTGGCCGAGCCTCCGGGCTCGGGGACCCCACATTAAATTCGGCCTTGTGCCACATGTGACTGCGTGGGGCAGTTACTAAATACCGTCG